GCCGGGCACCCCATGCTGGGTGCCCAGTATCAGACCCCCCCCATACCAGGCATCTCGTACCCACAGCCCATGCCAGGCACCCCACGTCAGGGACCCTGTGTTCTGGACACCCCATACTGGGTATCCTCTATGGGGCACCCCATGCCAGGCACCCTGTGCCATGCATCCCATACTGGCCACCCTTTACTGACAGCCCATACTGAGCACCACATGCTGGGGCCCTAGTACCAGACACCCCATGCCAGGTACCCCATGCCAGGCACCCTGTACTGACCCCCCTATGCCATGCACCCCATACCAGACACCCTGTTCCAAGCACCTCATGCCTGGCACCCCATGCCATACCCCACACCGAGCACCCCATGCCAGGCGCCCTGTATTAGGCACCCCATACCAGGCACCCCGTCCCAAGCACCCCATGCCATGCCCCCTGTACCAGGCACCCCACAATGAGCACCCTGTGCCAGGCACCCCATGCTGAGCACCCCATGCCATGCCCTGCTGAGGCAAAGGGGCTGGGGACATGGGGACATTGAGCCGGGCACTGCCACCTCCTGCCCATGGGCCAGCCCCACGGGATGGGGCAGGTGTCCTCTGTGCCCTGGGAGGGATGGGGCAGATGTCCCCTGGGTGGGATGGGGCAGATGTCCCCTGTCTCCTAGAATGGCCAATGCCATATGTCCCCTTGCTCCATGAAGGATGAGATGTCCCCTGTCCCCCTGGTCAGGGTGGGGGCAGATGATCCCTGTCCTCCTTGGTGAGATGAGGACCTCTGTCCTTGTCCACCCGCAGGGACAATGAGAGATGTCCCCTGTCCCCATGGTGAGGATGAGGGCAGATGTGCCCTGTCCCCCTGGTTGGGACAAGGTCAGATGTCCCCTGTGCCCTGGGAGGGATGAGGACCAATGTCCCCTGTCCCCCAGGAGGCCACCAGCCCAGGGCTCCCACCCCCCACATGTCATAGGGTTGGGGGGGTGACACTCAGCGACTTTGCTGGTCCTCTCTCCAGACCCCTCTGCTAACTGGGACCAGTTTGGGGCTGCAGTGGTGGGAGGTGGTGAAGGGAGACGAGGCCACTGGGGAGCTGAGGGACCTTCATGTGTCCTGCTGGGGGGGGGACATGGGTGGTGGAGTGTCCCCAGATTTTTCCCCCAGGGAGGGATGGAGCCAGGCTGGGAGGGGGGACAGGGGATGGGAGGAGAAGACAATGTCTGTCCCCTGGGGGTCCCCAGAGGTGGAGATGGGGGTCCCAGGGTGGGGGCCACTCGTCTCATTCCCTCCTTGTCCCCCCCAGGCCGTCTGCTGCCCCGACCACGTGCACTGCTGTCCCCAGGGCTACACGTGTGACCCGGAGGGGGGCAGCTGCCTGCAGGAGGGGGGGCAGCGCCGGCCCTGGCTGGAGAAGGCCCCAGCGCTGCCCGGGGGGGGGACGTGCGGTGTGACGAGGAGACCAGCTGTCCCGACGGGAACACGTGCTGCCGGCTGAGCTCGGGGACATGGGGGTGCTGCCCGCTGGAGGACGTAGGCAGGGGGTCCCCGTGTGGGGACAGGGACAGGCTGGGGGCCCAGTGGGGTGGGGGGTCACGGCGGTGCATCCAGGGGAGGGGGGCACCAGGGTGTCCTTGTTGAGGGGGACGTGGGTTGAGGGACCTCAAGTGGTTGAGGCAAAGGGGCTGGGGACGTGGGGACATTAACCCAGGCACTCCCACCTCCTGGCATGGGCCAGCCCCACGGGATGGGGCAGGTGTCCCCTGGGTGGGATGAGGACCAATGTCCCCTGTGCCCTGGATGGGATGGGGCAGATGTCCCCTGGGTGGGACTGGGCAGATGTCCCCTGTCTCCCAGAAGGGACAATGCCATATGTCCCGTTGCTCCATGAAGGATGAGATGTCCCCTGTCCCCCTGGTCAGGGTGGGGGCAGATGTTCCCTGTCCTCCTTGGTGGGATGAGGGCCTATGTCCCTGTCCCCTAGGAGGGACAATGAGAGATGTCCCCTTGCTCTTGGAAGGAGGAGGACAGATATGCCCTGTCCCTCTGGTTGGGACAAGGTCAGATGTCCCCTGTGCCCTGTGAGGGATGAGGACCAATGTCTCCTATCCTCCAGGAGGCCACCAGCCCAGGGCTCCCACCCCCCACATGTCATAGGGTTGGGGGGGTGACACTCAGCGACTTTGCTGGTCCTCTCTCCAGTCCCCTCTGCTAACTGGGACCAGTTTGGGGCTGCAGTGGTGGGAGGTGGTGGAGGGAGACGAGGCCACTGGGGAGCTGAGAGACCTTCATGTGTCCTGCTGGGGGGGGGACATGGGTGGTGGAGAGTCCCCAGATTTGTCCCCAAAGGAGGGATGGAGCCAGGCTGGGAGGGGGGACAGGGGATGGGGGAGTGACACCAGGACACTTTGCTGGGCCCCCAGTTTGCTAACTGGGACCAGTTTGGGGCTGCAGTGGTGGGACGTGGTGGAGGGAGATAAGGCCACTGAGGAGCTGAGGGACCTTCATGTGTCCTGGGGGTAGGGGAATAAGGATGGTGGCGGAGTGTCTCCATGCAGCCCCCCCAGAGGAGGGATGGAGCCAGGCTGGGAGGGGGGACAGGGGATGGGAGGAGAAGACAATGTCTGTCCCCTGGGGGTCCCCAGAGGTGGAGATGGGGGTCCCAGGGTGGGGGCCACTCGTCTCATTCCCTCCTTGCCCCCCCCAGGCCGTCTGCTGCCCCGACCACGTGCACTGCTGTCCCCAGGGCTACACGTGTGACCCGGAGGGGGGCAGCTGCCTGCAGGAGGGGGGGCAGCGCCGGCCCTGGCTGGAGAAGACCCCGGCGCTGGCCCGGGGGGGGGACGTGCGGTGTGACGAGGAGACCAGCTGTCCCGACGGGAACACGTGCTGCCGGCTGAGCTCGGGGGCCTGGGGGTGCTGCCCGCTGGAGGACGTAGGCAGGGGGTCCCCGTGTGGGGACAGGGACGTGCTGGGGGTCACGGGGGTGCACCCAGGGGAGGGGGGGACCATGGGCTGGGCTGAGACCTCAGGGGGGGATCCCAAGTGGCTGAGGCAAAGGGGCTGGGGACATGGGGACATTGAGCCGGGCACTGCCACCTCCTGCCCATGGGCCAGCCCCACGGGATGGGGCAGGTGTCCTCTGTGCCCTGGGAGGGATGGGGCAGATGTCCCCTGGGTGGGATGGGGCAGATGTCCCCTGTCTCCTAGAATGGCCAATGCCATATGTCCCCTTGCTCCATGAAGGATGAGATGTCCCCTGTCCCCCTGGTCAGGGTGGGGGCAGATGATCCCTGTCCTCCTTGGTGAGATGAGGACCTCTGTCCTTGTCCACCCGCAGGGACAATGAGAGATGTCCCCTGTCCCCATGGTGAGGATGAGGGCAGATGTGCCCTGTCCCCCTGGTTGGGACAAGGTCAGATGTCCCCTGTGCCCTGGGAGGGATGAGGACCAATGTCCCCTGTCCCCCAGGAGGCCACCAGCCCAGGGCTCCCACCCCCCACATGTCATAGGGTTGGGGGGGTGACACTCAGCGACTTTGCTGGTCCTCTCTCCAGACCCCTCTGCTAACTGGGACCAGTTTGGGGCTGCAGTGGTGGGAGGTGGTGAAGGGAGACGAGGCCACTGGGGAGCTGAGGGACCTTCATGTGTCCTGCTGGGGGGGGGACATGGGTGGTGGAGTGTCCCCAGATTTTTCCCCCAGGGAGGGATGGAGCCAGGCTGGGAGGGGGGACAGGGGACGGGAGGAGAAGACAATGTCTGTCCCCTGGGGGTCCCCAGAGGAAGAGATGGGGGTCCCGGGGTGGGGGGCACTTGTCTCATTCCCTCCTTGTCCCCCCCCAGGCTGTCTGCTGCCCCGACCACGTGCACTGCTGTCCCCAGGGCTACACGTGTGACCCGGAGGGGGGCAGCTGCCTGCAGGAGGGGGGGCAGCGCCGGCCCTGGCTGGAGAAGACCCCGGCGCTGGCCCGGGGGGGGGGCGTGCGGTGTGACGAGGAGACCAGCTGTCCCGACGGGAACACGTGCTGCCGGCTGAGCTCGGGGGCCTGGGGGTGCTGCCCGCTGGAGGACGTAGGCAGGGGGTCCCCGTGTGGGGACAGGGACGTGCTGGGGTCCCCGGTGGGGAGGGGGGTCACGGGGGTGCACCCAGGGGAGGGGGGTCACCAGGGTGACCTTGTTGAGGGGGATGTGGGTTGAGGGACCCCAAGTGGCTGAGGCAGAGGGGCTGGGGACATGGGGACATTGAGCCGGGCACGCCTCCTGCCCATGGGCCAGCCCCACGGGATGGGGCAGGTGTCCCCTGGGAGGGACTGGGCAGATGTCCCCTGTCTCCCAGGAGGGTCCATGCCATATGTGCCCCTGCCCCCTGCTCCATGAAGGATGAGATGTCCCCTGTCCCCCTGGTCAGTGTGGGGGGAGATGATCCCTGTCCTCCTTGGTGGGATGAGGACCTATGTCCTTGTCCACCAGCAGGGACAATGAGAGATGTCCCCTTGCTCCTGGAAGGAGGAGGGCACATGTCCCCTGTCCCCCTGATGGGGACAAGGTCAGATGTCTCCTGTACCCTAGGAGGGATGAGGACCAATGTCCCCTGTCC